AGACATTGCTTCTTAATGAGTTTTCTGCATACATCTTGGACTTCCAATGTATGTAAATGAAAGTATAAAAAAAGTACCAATTTTTTCCTTTGTCTCAAAATGTCTAGAAATATGGGATGCACTATTTACAATTGCGTCTTATAAACCTTGATAACATTCAATTCCTAATGTATTTAATTACATCTGAAATAATTTAAACGCTTGTATTTAATCACGATGTAAGAATGAATAAAAAATTGTTGTGTCAGCCGTCCACGATACAATAATGGGTTAAAACGTATTTTGTTTGGTCAGTAAGATAATCTGTAGGAATAATACAACAGTTAGTTTTTTACTTTTATTTAAGTAATTTTTAAAATAGCCAGTACTGCATCCTTAATCTCCTGAAGAAAAAATTAATAAAAACACCATGGGATCGACAAAATGATATAGTTTATTCAAAAATGCTTCTTTATGACGATTATCAAGTAATTCTTTCGGGCATACACAAAGATCGAAGGTTTCTGAAAGTCCAGAGTTTGAAACTAATAGCACTATATTTTGTGGTCAATGGTTTATTGTATGTGTGTTTTGGTAGCCAGTTTTTCTTAAAAAAATCATTTTATAATTTCGTAGTTTTTCTACATTTGTGATTTGATGTTGATGTTTGTATTTTTTTTTTATTGGATTTTCCTTCACATTTTTGACAAAGATTTAATTGTTTTTTAAGAATCTTAAAATTAATCATAAATTTCAACCTTAGATCAATAGCAATTTCATTATCCCCATATAAACAGGTATATATAGCTGACTACTCATTTGGTTTTTCATTAGGATCAGAATTCAATTTGTTTTGCACAACATAAAAAATTTGTCCTTGAATTTTAATATTTTATACACCTTTACATTATCGTTCTATTTCCTTACTTATCAAAGATGCAAAACTGAATACATTGTTGCAGTACCTAATAAGTACTCTAAAATTTTCATCATAAAGTAAAAGTTCTTTTAATTAAAAATTATATTTACTCAACGGACTAAGACGAACTTTTCCCTTATGAGAACACGTTGACTTTTTTTTTTCTTCTGGCCAAACTACTGCTGAATAGTACATACAATTATTTGAATATAAAACGCAAGATTTACTAATAAACCATTATTTTCGTTTTTCGTAATATTTAAAATTCGATTTAAATTTTGAGTATCAAATGTATTATTCATTTATTTATACTTAGATTTTTTTCTTATTTCAGATTCAATATACATAAGATTTCATAGTTCTCTTTTAATACCACTATTTTGATAACACAATAACTTAAATATATTTGAATATACAGTTCCTGAGAATTAAATAATGATTTTTAAATCATTTAAACAATCACATTAAAATAACACGTTTATAGAATTTTGAACAACAATTGTAATGTATGGATTTATTATACCCACAAAACTTTGTACTTTCATTGACGTACCATAACTTTCTGAGTTATTGAATCTTTCAAAATAATTTTTAGAATTTTTACATTTTTGAAATATTCATTCTCAAAAGTGTAATTGACATGAAAGTCTTATTTTTTCCCGATATTTTAACTTAGCATAAATCTTTTTTTAGAAAAAAAAAGTCCTTATTATATATAAAAAAAAAAGGAAAAAATTTTAGCTCC